TTTCAGCCTGTCTTTCTAATTCAGCCTGTCCAACAACACACTCCCTTTCCTGCCTCATGAAGTCTATACTTCCTCACATGGTTTAAAAAGCACTTCACATGCTCACCCTTATTCCACTTACACACTTAATACCTCCACAGCTCCCCCTTCACTCCAACCCTCTCTACATCCCCTACCCCCTCATTCTTCAACTTAAACATAATCAAAGATTGATTGCATATCAATAAGTGAAATAAAAATATCTGTCCTCAGTTGTCATGGGTTGGCCAAAGATGGGTAGCTCACTCTGCATTCCGAGATGAATAAATTAATTGAATACTTGGAGCATCGTTTCTGTTCATTTTGTCATCTAAAATTAATAGCTTGGGAATTTTCTGCATACTTCAGTCTTGTCTAGTAGAAGCTATTCTTCCTGTGTTTATAAATTCCTATATTTTATAATTTCTAGACAACTCTCAGCCATTATCTTCTTAGATATTGTCTCTTCTTTGTTCTCACTAATCTTACCCCTGAGGACTGGAATTAGCTATATATTGAATCTCTTTGTTTCTTTTGGATGATTTCTTATTTTATACTCTTTTTGTTCAATAACTGATCATTTCAGTAATTGAAGCACTTAAGGCTCTATATCTATTGCTTTTATTTCTGTGGGCTCTCATCCATGGGAGTTTAGCTGATCTTTGATCATGAGCTAATATTTGGGTAAAATCTGAGGGGTCTAAATTAAGGTTGTTTTCCTAAGAAGTTTATGTTTCTTCTGGAAGGGATAGGAGGTACCACCTTTTGTGGTCCTCAGCTTGAGGCTCTGAGAAGGCTCTAGTTCAGCTCTTAGAACCTGTCTCTGAAAGAAACCAAAAAGTGGCAATACTTATGTCCACATTTGTCTACAAGACACCTTATCTTTTACATTTCTTTACTGTGTTCCATTACCATTTAGCATTTGGTTTTCATTTTGCCTTATGTTTTCCCTTTAGACCTGATTTGCCTCATTTTGAAGACTCCAAAAATGCAACACAAGTTTCCATATGCACAAGCTATTATTTCCAAGTAAGATGGCCTTTCAGAGTATCTAATCTACCATACTGCCAGTAGTGGATATCTGAGTGATATTTTTTTACTCTGAGTTTATGGCTATGCTTCTAATAGCTGTGCTTGCCAAGAGTGAAAATTCCCAGATAAATGGAGCATGACTTAAATTATTTTAAATTTAGAACATCAAAGTGAGAACACTCAGACTTTCTTGCCTATAACAGGACTGGTTTGCTCAACTAATGGACACAAAATGCTGATGAGATTGTGTGATTCAGTTGGGTTTTCTCTGCCTGAAAGGTGCCAATAAATCAGTTGCCACTGCTGAGAAGGTTATATAAAATATCAATCTTATTGAATGATGAGATAATGCTATAAACTCCCATAGTAAGGCTAATGTGTAATTATACTACTTAGCTAGTATAGCTGAATTATAAGGTTTTTATTATAATTTGATGTATAGGAAGAAGACTACTCAAGTAAACATTAGCACTGTTGACCTGATGTTTATTATTCTATAATTAATCTTTTTGAAGAAAAATTTTATTTACTAATGTAATCTACTCATTCAATAGCACTATGACCTTTTCCCCAAAAACAGATAGTAAACTGTCAATGGATCAGATTTTGAGAATAAAAGACTATAGTCTGTAAAAATGAGAGATGCTTACAAGTGGATTCTACTGTTAAGTACAGTGGGAGTTTAGTAAGTATCTTGATTAAAAACATTAACTTGACAAGATAGTGAATTGTACCCTATATAAAAAAATTCAAACCTCTGAAAATGTATTAAAATCAGTTTTCTGACCACACTTAAATAAGTTATGTTCTTAATTTAAGAATTATATATTTAACAGTTATTTCTAGATCTGCATAAAATTATAGTAGAATCTGAGAAAATGCCTGCCTCCACCACCTCTTTAAATGAAACTAAGTAATTAGTATTTCAGTAAGTAACCTTTGAATTAGCCAGAACCATACTGATTGTACTACATAGAAAATCAAATATTTACATGAGCTAGTATAATATTACTACCAAAAATATGGATGCTACCAACAGCAAACTGAAATGAAGAAATGAGCTGCTTCAGGTAGAGATCAATAAAATACATTGTACAGATCTGAAGTTAATAACCAGTGATGAGCCAGTTAGCCCAAGTCTTCCCTCTCAGGTCTGCATGAAGCATGCTCTGGAGCCTCCTTTCCAATCATATCTTTAAGGAGAGAGTAAATTGATTTACCCTTATTTAAACACATACATTGTACCTCTGTGTACGTTTCAACCATTCCAGTTGCAGTTCAAAGGGCTAGACTTCCACATGGAATGAACCAAAGTTAAAACATATTAAATGAAATGATATTTCAATGCTTGCACTTTCTCTCTTTAAAAACCAATAATGAGCTGAAAATGTTCTTAATTATTTTTCATACTTATTGAGTTCTGATTTTTCTTGTGTTGATATTCAAAGATTACCATTGAAGAGTCTAACAAAAAATACAATAATTCAACATTTTAGCGATTTAAACCTATTGCTAAGCTTTAATATTAATGAAGAAGTCTAAGCTAATTTCTTTGAAATCTTACATTTTTCTCAAAAAATTATATTTTCAAGGGAAATATATTTAAACTTCAAAAAGATTTGTGGCAAACAATTCATGGTATTTAATTACATTTAAAAATTCACACTCAAAGTTTCAGTACCAGAAACCAACATCCCATCATCTTGGTACAACAAAATGTAAGAAAACCTAACCAGCCTTGATTTTTTTTTAAGTGACATACAGAGATTTTTATCTAAAAGGACCTTGAGGCTAGTGAAGAAAATGAAAATTTGCTTGAAATGTAGGATCTTCTCATGTTTCTTTTCATCTTTGACTTTATTCTCAGTTTCTTTTTCTTTAGGTTTAAAAGTCAAATGAGAACACATCTAAATGTATCTGGAAAGTATCATAGAGAATTTAACTCACTTCTTTAAAAATGGAGCCGACTTCATTACGTGGTCAATAAAATGTTTTTTGTTTCAAATTATGTTTGAATCCTTATTCTCTGAAAGCTTGGAATGAGAGAGAGGGGTAAAAAGAAAAAGAAAAGAAAACAAGGAAACCCCCACCCATGATTTGTGATGACAACTGACAGCCAATTTCAAACAATGTTGGAATAATCTAATAACAACATATGAGATAATCTGCACCATTCGGTTGCAAAATCCTCTGTCCAGATCTGGACTACAAACTGTTTTCTACGTGGACATTTTCCAGTTAGTAAAACATATACTCTACCAAGGAAATTACACAATGTCTTTTTGGAGAAGTCTTTACAATTACACCAGGATCATCTGAATTCCACAACCAAAGTTCCTTTTCTTACTTTGACGTACATTAAGTGTACTGTTTTAGAAGCAGCTTTCAGGATGTGAAAAATAGTCATAGTTCATATTTTCGAATAGGTATTCAGCACAATTGTAAGCAAAGATAAAGTCATCCACTTTAAAACAGGAATATGACTGTGGAGGAAGTAAGTGAAGTTCAAAATATTGTGGAAATGTTTTACAGTAACTGTTGAACACACAGCCATATATTTTAGTAATTACTGCCTTTATGCTATATGAAAACATTCAAGTCATTTGAATAAAAGTAGATATTCTTCATGTTTTGTCAGTTGCTTATTGAATGAAAAATATGTTTGTAAAGAGTTTCATAGTCCATTCAGTAAAAAAAAAACCTATATTCTTTCATATTTAAGAATCTAAATATGTTTGGATTTAAAATTAGGGCAAATTGCTCTATGTGCTTTCAGGAAACACATTAGGTGATTCAAAATAGTTCTTATCTAATACCACTAATCATATTTAGATCTTCCTGTATTCACCATAATGAATTAATAACCAAGGACACAACTGTACATTTAAAATAAAATGAAATAAAAAGACAGGAAAGGCAGGCTATATAGTGACAAGGGTCCGTCTTCCCTCATGCCAGGGAAGTTTTCGCTGTGAGCATGCTCAGACACATGGGAGACTCAGAAGTTGCTATATCAGAACTCCTTCTGAGGTGTAAGGAGGACACATCTAATAACTCAATTGCTGTAAGCCTACTTCTGTTTTCCTGATATTCGACATCTCTTCAGCCTCAGATTGATTGCAATGTTCCTTTTACTTCATGTCATTGTTCTGATAGATGTCCAAGGTAAGACTGCTTCTTTCTCACTTTAAATGAGGGCAATTCCCAAAGAATATAAAATTTCTATTTAATTCTGTGATATTTACGATAGATTTATTGCCATGTTTGGAAGGTAGACATTGAATATGCATTCATTGTCACTATCGTTAATTGTTCGTAACCCCATACAGTCTAGCAATTTCTGGATGCAACAAATTTTTCATGGAAACTTGTCTGTGTATGTTATTAAAGCTACAGTTAAAATATCTTTACAAAACAATGTTGACTACAGCAATTATAGCAGAGAACATATTTTAGTATTTTTTAAAAAGTAGGATAAATTAATAAGCTAAAACTTTGCTTTGCAAAAATTCAACCTGTTGAAATAGATCCGTAAAATATATGTCATTGTATGTTTCATTGTTAACATTGGGAACTGAAAGCCACACAAACCTAAAAATCAGACTCTCTCCCTAAAGTTAGCCTATGTAAAATAAAGTTATTAAAAATCCACTTAGATAATTTTCTTCTCTGTTTTGAATTTTTGGAAATCATTTTAGTCAAAGAGCTAATTTTCAAATCAGTGGCATTTTATTGTCAAGCTGACAAAAAAATTAAGCTTAGATGTTCACCTGGTTTTAAAGAAAGAGACCTGTTTCATTGTGAACTTGTATGCTTATCAATTATCTATCCATCATACCCAGGGTTACTATAATTATTATTACTGTTTGAAAATGTATTCAATTTAATTCATTACTTCTCTTAAAGTCTTTTGATAAGCTTCAGAATAAAATTAGAAGTTATTTTTATGTTCTTTTTTTTTATTTTTATGTTCTGAGAAATTCTTTTTAAGCTTAATTTTGTTAAATGAATTCCAAGTAAATATCTTTATCTTGAAATAAAATGTAATATTTATGAGAACAAATGCAGCATGTATAAGCATAAAATGCAGTATTTAAGAACATCTAACAAATAAAAGTTTCTTAAAACATTTAAATTTTATTTTGAATTTGAAATATTAAAACTTTGTTTCAAATAATTTAAAATTTTTACCCCAAAATACCTAGAACATTTCTATTTTGTGTTTTAATCTCTCTTACATGAAAAATCTATCATATAAGGAGAAACAATATCTGAACTTATCTTTCACAAAATACATCTGTAAAAAGCAGATGTATTTCTTTGATTTATAGTCTTACCTTATCAACCTGTGTCCTATCCATAGTTTTAATATGCAATTTGACAGAATTTTTAAGAATAAACAGTTAAAAAGTGGGTTCTTAGATTTAAGATACTTTATAGAGAAAAATCTGTGCCCTTAAAAAAAGTCTTTAATGTTCAAAAACTGAAACTGTAGTTAGCCAATTTTATTATAGTACTGCTTTTACTCATGATACCCTTTATGAGACAAAAATCATTAATTTCTAAGTAAGTATTATTTACTATAATATAATGGGGCTTTTTAAAACAATAAAAAAAATTTTAAACAGATCATTTTTGGTTTTTTAAATTTCTAAGTGTCAATTTTTAGATCCACAGTATCAACCTGATAAAAGTTATGTATTAATTTTAAGTCTCTGGAGGAAAGGATGAAAGAGAGTGAATGTAGTAGAAGTATTATGTACTCATGTATGCAAATGGAAAAATGAGACCCATTGAAACTATTCTAAGAAGGGAGGATAAGGAGAATGATGGAGGGGTGAATTTAACTGAAATATATTGTGAGCACTTCTGTAAATATCACAATGTACCCCCAGTACAATAATATGATAATAAAATTTTTTCTTACAAAAAAAAGTCTCTGGAAATATTTTTCTAACTTTCTATTACCATTGTTAATTTAACCTTTTTATCTATCTAAAATGATTCTTTTCAAAGTAAAATATATTAATCAGAGAATGCTTTGATACCTTATTACTATGCATGAAAATAATAAGCATTTGCCATACATTTAGTAAAATTTTTTCTTTTTTTACAATAAAATTATAAGTAGTTAAAATGATAAGTCTTTTTCATAATAATCAAACAAAGTCATTAAGAATTATGTCACAGTACAGACTGCTTTTTAAATTTAAATAAATACTTGTGATGGATTCTGGGCAGTCTAAACAAAATGAAAAGTTGCAAATTGTATAATTATCTTCTCTCTTTGTACCATGATCACCCTAGAATGCCTAAGGGAATGGATGGCACTGACTATCTTAATCTAAATACACTAACTGATAACTAGAGATAATACATCTTCTTATCATTACATGTATTTTATCATTAAGTTGCTGTGTATCCTTGTTTTAATCAGTCTCAAACCACCTTTTAAAAAAGCTTTTTTAATGGAGTAGTAGGGAAAAATATTATAAATCAAAATCATGGGCCTATATTGGAAATTGAAGTATCAAGAACTGAGAATCCTACTTGGTAACTGCCACCTGCTACTTATTAATTTGCTAACCTTCAAAAAATGTGGTGTTCCAAAGCAGAGCCCGGGCAGCATTTTGAAGTGAACAGTGTTTGACTGCCCCCTAACGGCCAAGTTCAAGGTATGACTTGAACTATCTTTTCCAAGTGATGTCAGTTCAACTTTGTCCCTAAGACTTAAGAAAAGGTTCTCCAACTACATTTGCTTTCACACAATTACATTCATGCTGCGCATAGGTGTGAAAATCAATTTTATTTCCAGCTAGTCATTCTGAGGGACTGAAGTCACACTACTAATGAGAAAGGAACTCATCTGCTTGAGACTGAATGGAGCCTTGCTGGGAAGGGGGGGGGGGACGGGACACAGAAAGATGGGATACCCAGAAGTCAAAGCCTTCATAGGCATGTGATCTCTGAAGGCAATAGCTAAATACAGATATTCACTCACTTGCTCATCTTATGTGTGCAAATATCACCAGGGGTAATAAAAAAGTTTTAAGAGTGCTCGCATGAAGTGATAAAATTGTCTGACATTTGAATTTTAGAGACAAAATTGGGATGCTGCTTTCCAGTAAGTTCCCAGTTTAAAAAAATCATATATTTTTTTCCCAGAAAATAGTGTTCTAAACAAAATTCAATTAACAATGGATGATTTTGTGTAAACAGTTAAGTAATGATAATATGGAGTTTTTAGTAGTCCTTATCTATTTAAGAACCCAAAAATTATTTGCTAAGTGTATAATTATTCATCAAGCAGAACGGATGTGTTCTTTTACATGAGAAATGACAGTGATTTTAGAGGTATAATAATCTGGAAACAAAAAAATATGTCTTCCTTGAATGTTTTATTTACAATGGATATACATAAACACACATGTACCTGTATGTGTATATAGGAGAGTTTGCTAGGATGGTCACCACTGTTAAATGCCTAGGAAAAGTGCCCCAAAACCAAAATAAAATGATTGATTTAACATTCATATGATAAATAGGCTTTCGAAAGTTTTAAGATTAGAAAAGAATTGCAATTGAAAAAATGAACTTTACTGTGAAGTAAGAGCCATTAAAATATATGCAACGTGATTAGTGAAACTCTTACCTTTCTCCTTCTAATTTGATCCAGTGCCTCTGTTTTTGCTCATGCCCCTTTCTCCTTCTCTCTCACTTCCTCCCTGTGGTTGCTTCTTTTATTCCAAGTTTTTTAAATTGACATAAAAATTATACCTAGTTATGGGGTAGCATGTATATATTGTGTAGTATTCAAATGATTTTCATTTCTTTATGGTGAAACATGCAAAATTTTTCCTTTGAGCTTACTTTATTATTTTATGTTTTTCTTGACATGTATTTATTTTACATATTAATGAGATTCGGTGTGATATTTCAACACAAGGCAGAGTAATTAGCATTTCCCTCTCCTCATCATTTTTTTGTGTGTATTTAGACTTTCTAAGCTCCTCTCTTCTGCACAGAAAATCAAGTACCACATATTCTGATATGTGAAAGCTAAGAAGGTCTATGAATGTAGAATAGTGATTACTAGAGGTTGGGAAGGTGAGAGGAAAGGATAAAGGGGATTTGGATAACAGGTACCAAAGAGAGAAGAAGTTCTGGTGCTCCTCAGCACAGTAGTGAGACTAAGGTCACAATACCCTGCTCTGTATTTAAATGCAGCTATTGATCTTTTCCTATGTTCACTTCCTGCATATTTGTCCTCCTCTCACCTTTGCACACCTGTCTTAGACAGATTCCATCATTTCTACATTTCATCTCTCATTTTCATCTTGGTCTTACTGGTTTCCTCGCCTCTAAACGCTTGATCTTTTTCTTGTCTCTGCTTTCCAACTCTCATTTTATGGGCTCTTCTCTTCTCCTTGCTACATCCCAGTCTTTCTGATTCCCACGTCTGCTCCATCCTGGTTATTCCCCTCTGCCTTTGCATTTCCACCTGGGTATACATCTATCCCTCAACTTGCTCCTGTTCAAGTATTCTTCACCTGGAATCACTTCCGGTCTTTGCTGGCTCTGTGCATCTTTTCTGTCTCCTCCTTTTGGCCCTTTTTTCCTTCCTGTTATTTGTCTCTATCTCATCATCTCCTGGCCCAGTCACCAGTCACCATTTTTGCAACTAAGTTTGCTGGGACACATGCCCAAACAGAATCAAATCCGTATTATATCTTAGTACTTTAACACGGACATGCTTTCTTTTTTCAGGTCCACAGTGATTTTCCTACAATTCTGAAATCCAAAAAGTTCCAAAAACTGAAAGTTTGAACATCTTTGCCTACAAAATCTGGTCAGAATTGACCAGTGGTTATTTAAGAGTCTTTCTTTGTACACATATTGCAAATTTTCATACATTTTTGCTATAGAAAATTGCTAATGTGTTTGATTATGGGATTTTACCCCAGACCCAATATTATATTATTATAATGTTAAATTATTTATAGCATATTCATATCTTTTAAAAATTTGTAATTTTACTACATATCTTTCCAAAGGGTTTCTACTAAAGTGATATTGATCTGTACTAGCTGTCACCCTGTTCAGATCCCCAACTGTTCAGTGAGTGCCACGTTTTCCTCACCAGTGATAGAATGATTATTTTCTTT